AGAGGGAGGAGGGTCAGAGGGAGAAGCAGACTCCCTGCCGAGCAGGGAGCCCGATGCGGGACTCGATCCCGGGACTCCAGGATCATGACCTGAGCCGAAGGCAGTCGCTTAACCAACTGAGCCACCCAGGCGCCCCTATTTATATAAATTTTTAAAACTTTGAAAAACGTGTTTGTAAGAAAACTTCAAAGTGTTAGAACATAGATCTAGACTGGGTAAGGGTGAGAGAGACATAAAGTGAGCAGTAGACAGTACAAGTGCGGTAAGATCAATAGTCTGGAGGCTTCGATAAGATGAGAGAATTGTGAAGTGAACTGGAAAGATGAAATGTGGGTCAGAGTGAGGTGGGCTGCAAGAAGATCTCAAAGGTGATACAGTAGCAAGGAACCACATAAGCGGACATCTGAGGTAGAAAAGATCATAGGAGCTACAGAAGTCAAGGAGCTTGACTTGCCGGGATGGTGGACGATCATCCACGTGCTTGTTGAAATAGTCAAGAATGAAAGCAAGAGTAGTGGAGAAAAGATGGAGAACGGCTGCCCTTCAACTTTTCCTCTAAAACAGGAGAAGGTCGGAGCACCTGGGTGGCTCAGTTGGTTAAGCATCTGCCTTCAACTCAGGTCATGATCCCAGCATCATGGGATCGAACCCTACGTTGGGCTCCCTGCTCAGCGGGGAGTCTGCTTCTCCCTCCCCCTGCTCTTGCGCTCTTGCTCATTCTCTCTCTCTCCCTCTCAAATAAATAAATAAAATCTTAAAAAAAAAGTTAAAAAACAAAGCAAGAGAAGGTGGAGAAAATAAGAGATGAATTATGTAAGCATAGAGGCCCTTACACTTTACAAAAAGAAAAAAACAAGTACTACTAGTATATTTGCGGAACATTTCAGTAAATTAGAACATGTAAACTAATATTATTTATGCAGTCAATAAATTTGTTGAGTAAGGGAAGAAGAGATAGGGTGAGAACTGAAAGAGTAGAGCCACCAAGGGTATTTACTATAGAGGCAAATCTCGAAAGATCAAAGGACAGCACTGATTGTCCATAAAAACCGCTCAAGTGGAAAGCCCTTACTTTTAACAGTGCTAGATACTAGAGCTATATATTCAAGGAATTCTTTTACTACGTATAATCACATGATATGGGTGTGGGGTGTTTTCATATGTACATTTCTATATACATACACACACACACACACACACACATATATTTGTAGGCATACCCTTAAGGAAAAGAAAAAAAAAAAACAGAAATACCAACAGCAGACATGGAATGTCAACAAACAAAAACGGACTTAGGTCAGAGAAAGCTGAAACCGACAGGGATTCTTTATGGCATTCTGACAAAAGGAAACAAGCAGACCTGCAGCAGACCTGCAGCAGACCCCAGAAAGGCTCAGGTATTTAAAGCATCAGGTATTTCTCAAAACCAGGGTCAAGGACAGGACTCAGAACAGGGTATCAGTAGCACTTGAACCCACAGGTCTCTTCATAAAGAAGAAAGGACCTTTACATTTTGGAGGGAACACAGAGATTCAGGATTCCATGAGATTTAAGACTCCACAAACAGCTGAGGAGAGGAGAGCCTGCACTGAAAACAGAACCTGTCCAAGTCTTCTCAGTGAACAGTTTGACTTCCATTTTGACACTTGACTTCCTGAGTCCCAGGGCTCAGGTTTATATCCCCAGGAATTCCTTTCAGAAAAAACAGATCTGCCAAAAAAAAGAGCCACAGAATTCTGATATTTGGGAATGAAAAAGTGGCCATGTCTACACAGAAATCCACCAGTTGATGAAACCAGACCATGCACATTGAGCTCTCTCAGTCAAGTTTTTAAAGTGACTCACTTTTAAAAATGAACAGAGCGTCACAGATCACCAGACATCTGAAGAAATATTTGAGCATGAGACAAAGCCTGAACTAATTAGGTAGCAACATGGAACCTGAAGGCAAAGAGATCCTGCAAGGGGAGGAAGAAAACATCCATAAAAATATAATGTCCCCAACTGCCCACAGTGTTCTTTAATATCAAGAACAGAGCTTCAAATGAAAAAGCAGGCCATGCAAAAGATAGGGAATCAAAGTATGTGTTGAATGAATGAACGAGTAGGATTCTTCAACTCCATAAGCTAAAATAACAATGGAGCCATGCCTTCAAAATTTTTATGGAAAATATGTGCAACCTAGATTTCTATACTAAGACAAACCAAAATCTAAATGTGCTAGTGGAGTAAACTTCATCAGATATGCAGAGGCTCCAGAAAAATGAGATAGTAAAACAAGAAGAGAGAAAGATATTAGGTCAAGGAAACAGAAAAATCCAAACAGAAGAAAAGGAAATCACAGTGACAGCTGTCCAGGAGACCCAGATGGCAAGCAAGCCACAGAAGACAGAGAACACCAAGGAAAAAGAAAAGAACCCACAGACCCTTAGGGTTTACAGATCTGTCAAAGTTTGGGGATGAAATTATGTGATAAAAAACTAAACTAAAAAATAATAAAAAGTACTTATTAACTAGAGGAAAAACAAAAGTTGTGGAAGAGAAGAAATGGGACCATAGCATACTACCTGGCAGTTTGTGAAAAATATCTACATGGTTAAATAACACACACGAAGTCCTAATTTAAACAAACATTATAATTGTATTGGAAGGATGGGGACAGGGGACAGTGTTAGGATAGCTATGGCTAGGAGGTGTAAGAGCAAAATCCTCATTTTTCACAGAAATAACTACAACAATAGTAAATCCAATGCATACCATGTTCCAGGCACAGTTCTAAGTACTTCATCTCTACTAATTTAATCATCCTCATTAAAAACCTTGCTATTATTATCACCCCCATTTTATATGTGAGAAAACTGAGACAAACTTGAAGTGCTTGGCTGGCTCAGTCTATAGAGCACCCAACTCTTGATCTCTGGGTTTAAGTTCGAGCCCCATAATGGGTGTAAAGATTACATAAAGATAAAATCTTAAGAGACAGAAAGACAGACAGAAAGAAAGAAAAGTAACTTGCCAAAGGCACAATTAATTAATAATAAAGCCAAGAATCAAACCTCAGCAAATAGCTCCACAGTCCATGTTCGTACCTATCCTAACAGCAGTTCTCAGGAAGTCTTTACACTCTTAAAATTATTGAAAACACCAAAGGCTCCTAGTTCGTGTGCATTATAGCTATCAAGAATGTTTTAACAGGCTTTTCAGAACTGTGGCTATTCTTTCTTTCATGGAACATAAAACTCAACAAAGATTTCCTAAAAGTTAGTTGCAATGTCAAATATGAAATCCTATCAATGAACTTCTCATATTCTGTTATGTTAAAATCTGCGAGTCTCTTGCATTTGAGGGTATATTTTGCATGCACTGGTTGTTAGGAAAATATTGGTTCACTTACTTCTGCAGATCTTCTAAATATTGATACCCTTTTATTATATAATATCAAAAAATCAAATTCATTAATATCTCCACTGATCTCATCAGAAAAGTCTAGCCAGTGGGAACTTCTCAAGCTCACGGTGCTGCCTAGAAGTTTTCCAAAATTCTGATTTTCTCCTGAAAACTCATGTTTTTTAATCAGTAAGAAATATTTCAGTTTCTCTTCGAAGTGGCAGGTTCACGGTTCCTTTTGAGAAAATATTGTTCACATTCCCAAGTCTGACTAACCATGATGTCCGTCATTCTTTCAAGTAAAAATGATGCTCCATGAAAAAAAGTGGCCAGAGTTCAGATCACAGCTCAAAACAACTATGCACACGATTTTTTTTCAAAACATCCATCATACTTCTGTATGTACTTTGGAAGTGCCTGATGCATACTTCCCATTTCAATCACACATAATACACAAGGGGGGGGAGAATTAATAAAATTTACAATTTTCACTGCATCAAGGATATTAAATGAATCTGGCATTATCATTTCCTGTGAAGGCTTAGCAGTGTGGAAAATGACAGCTTGGTGCGCTCAGTTTTACCCACCATTGCTTGCGCACTGTGAGTGCAAACATCAACATAGTGGAAAAAGGCAAACACCTCAGTGCTATTACAAAAACCCGTTTTAACCTCATTGGCCTCTTGAATGGGACTCAGGGATCCCCAGGGATGGGCAGATAATCTCTGAGAACCACCACACTACATAGCCTGTGCATAGTCTCTAAAACCGAAAAATAAAGTGGCTATATAAGTACGTTTTAAAATAAGAAGCCCAGGGGCGCCTGGGTGGCTCAGTTGTTAAGCGTCTGCCTTGGGCTCAGGTCATGATCCCAGGGTTCTGGGATCGAGCCCCGCATCGGGCTCCCTGCTCAGCGGGAAGCCTGCTTCTCCCTCTTCCACTCCCCCTGCTTGTGTTCTCTCTCTCGCTGTCTCTGTCAAATAAATAAATAAAATCTTAAAAAAATAAAATAAAATAGGAAGGCCAGGACCAAAAGAGACAATATAAATAGCTGTCCTTCAAGAAGAGGGAGGATTAACTGTCTTTCATTGTAACCCTTGTACACTATTTGGCTTTTTAGGAACATGGATTATTCTGATAAAAATCTGCAAAAATAGCTACATCCTTCCTCATTAGCAGACAAGTAATTTTTTCCTTTTTGCCAGGTTATCCCAAATATATTTTGTCCTGGGGAACTCTTACTCCTACATGCCAACATGTAGGAGTCAAAAAAATTAGACACTTAAAGAAAAAATATTAAAAGAAAAAAGGTTGAAAAACACTGCCTCATTTCATTGTAGAGAAAAACATTAACCGGCAAAAACCCCTGCAAAATAAAATAGCTCCTCTAGAAAACCATTTCTATCCAGGATTTCCCAATTCTTAACCTAGCCATGCTCAACATCACCATCAATGCAAACTGAACACTCTCTGTAAGACAGAGAAAACCTTATCTCCCCAGATCCAAAACAGATGAGATGCACAAGAAGGTAGAAACACGGTACAAAAGCTTTGTAACAGAACAAAACATTCTCCCCAGAGAATTCATGACATAAGTTAGAAGAATATCATACCAGAAAAGGGGAATTCTGTGTCAAAGAAGATTTCTCTGCCATCTTTAAACTCCGCTGCTGAGCAATGAAACGAATAAGATGGTTTGTTTCAGGGGAGCCCCGAGCGCCGATTGTAGAGCGTCGTCTGGATTTTTTAAGGTAGGATGAGGCCTTTCCTGTAACAAAAACTCTTTTAAATTGGAACAAAGCAAGGCAATCATTGGTAATCATGTACTGAATTCCCTGTAATATACCAGCCTAAGAGAGAACACATAAACACCTATTACAGAAATCTAAATAGAGTATTATAGGCGAAATTACTCACACATGGTCAGTCGGATAGGGATCTTTGTCTATTGATTTATTCCATGATTCTGAAAGTGTCTGGCATATAGAAAGCACTGATGAGAGTGAGTTATGGAATGAACACGTGAACACATTTTAATAGTTCCCATTTTTGTTTCATATTTCTTGCACACAGGGATGGGTAATAGCTTGCTTTGGACTAAGAACTTCTCTTCTTTCTGAATTAGTCCTCTTATCCCCAAGAACTGAAAGGAAAGCTCTCCACTTAGGCACATGTACTCCCAGGTTCTCAATTGTTCAAGATCATTTTTTTCTCTGAGATACCAATCCACCTTCCACACACTATGTTGCATATGCTGAAGAGGACAAAATAAATCTAGTTTTTTCTTTAAAGGTTTATGAATAATGTTCTTGAGAAGGGAACACAGAATGGCACACCACTGTGGTCTTGTCTACATCATGCATTATCCAGTCTAGTGCCCTCTGACTTTCCAGCCTTCCCTCACTCTCCATTTCTAAATGCTGTTCTCCAATCTAATCCCAGTTCCATGTTTATTTCCTCTCTTAGCTAAATCTGACTTCACAGGTGAATTTCATTTCTACTCCTTGAAGATTAGCCCAAGTCAATTTTGTTTGTGATTTTGAAAGAGGCATACCCCAATCTTTCTTAATTGCTCTTCAACTTTCTCTTATTTTTACCATATGTGAGCATAAAATTTATTACTACTTAGAGTAAACATATCCCATATCTCATGAGTCAGGTCAAAAAGTGATTCACCTACGTCTTCTTTTCCAGTTTGGGCACAGAGCACACTGTTGAATGTTATCATGCTGGGTGCCCTAGGAACCTGATAGTCTGCTATGCTAGATGCATGGTACATATTCACAGAAATGTCCCTAATCGAACGTTTGCAGAGTCAAAGTAATGAGATAAAGCAGATGAACAAAACTGAGTTAAAGTTATTTTTAAACTTTAAAAGCACTGCAATAGAAGGACAACTTCTTTTACCTGAAGAGTTCTTTACAAAGCTTTCAGGTGTAATTCCCAATTGCTCTACTGTTACTGTGTTAAAATCCAAAGGTGACTTGAAAGTATCTGGTGTGCAACCATTAGGAGTCCCTTCAGGTGCATGCTTCTGAGGAGTTACAAGCCTCCCGTTTCCCGAAATGAAAGAGGTATTTTCTGAAATAGACAACATATTGTGAGGGCTAAACATCATTATGAAAACAAATACCTAAACCTTACATTTCACAAGGAGGCAAGAGATCACTACATACCAGTATCACGAATATCAGGCTCCTTGGTTTCAAGAGGCTCGCTGTCTTTTGAGTTGGTATCCATCTAAAAAAAAAAAAAAGGAAAGAAGAAAAAAAAACCCCCTCATTTCCAAGTTAACTATTAGATCAAGATTCTCATTCAAGACTGAATTCTAATACAACCTTTACAGGCATGAAAATAGATGTCGAGAGTATTTGAGAGCTTTTTAAAAAAGAGAGAAATGGAGGAAACTGCTGTTGAGGATGAAACAAAGCAGACCTCACACTAGAAGCCATGGCTTTTCAACCTGGGCGAACATCTGAATCATCTGGGTACCCTGTTATAGACACAGCTTTGCGGATTCCCAAAAATTCTAATTAAGTAGGTCTGGCTGGGCTCCAAGAAATCTGCATTTTAGAAAGCACGCGGGCGGCCCGGCTCAGGTAGCAGGAGGACCACTATATCCGTGGAGCAGGATAAGTAAGAACACGCTTTTGAGAAGCACGCCCCAGAAGCAGCTCTGCTGGACCAGGGTCCTTGCCCTACCTCTCACTCCCGCAGCTTGGCTCTCCTCCCACTGGGTTTATTTGGAACGCTCCACCGCGGGTGAGTGTCGTGCAGGTGCAGACTGTTCGCTCGATAAGGCAACTGTCGGCCGCCAAGTCGCCCGCCTGGAGCTGCCTCGTCCGGCCCGAGGAACTCCAACCCCGCCGCCCGCGATCCCTACCTTCGCCTCCGCCCGGCCGCTGCCTGCCGCCCGCCGCCAGATTCAAATCGCCGGCCCCGCCTCCTCGGTACCGGCGTTACTCCACGAATCTCTACGCCGCCGCTGTCCACACGTGTCCACGCGCACCCCGAATTCTCCCGGGCCTCTACCTCGTCGTCCCAGAACCAGGAGTGGTTTGGTGAGCTCGAGAGAAGCCACCACTAGCTGCAGGTGACGCGCCGACCAGAGAGACCTGCTGAGGCTAACCTGTATCCGGGGGGACTACTTTCCGTGAGAGTCTCGCGGAGGAACCCTTCGGTTATCACCTTAGCTCCACCCCCGTCTTTCAATTGGATGCTGCAAACTTCGAAAAGAATCATTGGACCAATCCTGGCAAGAACGACGGGAGGACTCTTGCCCAATCACCCAGTCCAGACAGCAGCCGTTTCGTCCGTGGTTTGAGCGAGTGGGAGGGGGAGCTGACTTGTATAGGTCCCTGCTAGAGCTCCACCTCTTTCCTTCCAACCCCTCCTCCCTATGCAGATGAGCTCTACCTGGTGTTGGGTTTGCGCCTGCTCAGTAACGCCTAGAGCCGCCGTTCGGCTCCAGATTGTGCTGATTGGCTGATAACCCTTCCCGTCTGCAGGACTGCAACCTCTCTTCCCTCCCTCCACCTGGGCTGGGTTAGTATGAGCCCACCCAACGCAGGGCGAGGATTGGCTGAGCGCTGTCCGGCGCTGCCAGTTGATTGGTGGAGCTTAGAGTCAGTCTGGGAGAGGTGGGGGAAGGGTCCCAGGCTGACTGAGGAGCCCAGGGGCGGGGTGGGAAGGAGGACCCGCCAACCCTGGGGTGTGGGACCGAGAGTGCGTGCGTGTGTGTCTCTGTAAGAGAAGGAAGGTGGCGAAGGGAGGAGAGTCCGAGTGGGTGGAGGGAGGGGAAGGGCGGGAGAAGAAGAAGGTGGGAGGAGAGCCAGGCGGGAGGGTGGCGACTCACTCAGGACCCAGTGGGGGCAGCGCGATGAGGCGGGTGACCCTGTTCCTTAACGGCAGCCCCAAGAATGGAAAGGTAAGGGGGTCGGGAGGAGGCGGGCCGCCTGCTGGGGGAGAGGGCAGCGGAGCGCGGAACGGGCTGGCAGGGCGGCGGAGGGCTAAAGTTGGGGAGAGGGGCAGGGAGGTGGGCGTGCGCCGGGGTGGGGGGCGTCCAGGAGGTGAACGTCAGGTCCCCGCGGCCTCCTTCCAACCCGCGGGATTCCTGACCCGAGCCCGCCCTTCAACTCCCCAGCCGCCCTGGGGCCAGCACAGGTCAGCTTGTGCTTTATCGTTCCCACGTCCAGGTGTGGGTCCTGGAAAACGGAGGACTCGGAGGGCGACGGGAGGGCCGCTGTCACCTGAGCGCTTGGTGCTGATGTCCCTCTTCCCACCTCCACCCCGAAGACCCCAGCCCTGGCTGTAGAAGGGCGCTTGTTGCCACCTTCGTGCTGAGTAATGGTCTGCTCCAGAAAGTGGTGGTTAACAACTAAGGCAGACACGGAAGGTTGATCAGGTAGAAAGAATGAAACTGTTTATTGGTGGATAAATAAAATATTCTTCTATCGTAGGGTGAATAGAAAATTGAAAATTAGGGACATTTTCTTGATGGTTCCTACCTTTGTCTTTTAGGCGCCCCAAGCCCCGCCGCCGCCAAACTTACGTACTCACTTTATTTCGCCTTGTTTTAGTTCCTTAGAAAGACTGTCACAATAGACTAAAATGGATTGATTTGACGTTACTAGTTGCTGTGTTCGGCCTTTGTTGAGGGTGTGGTACCAAATATTTTTTCCAAGGCTGGAGCAAGCCAAAATGAATCCTATTCCTTCTCAAGCCGCTTGCCCCACCCATGAAAGTTGTTCGGCTTCTTTGGAAAATTTGACTGCTCAAGGCAGACATTTATGATGTGGCTAAATGACATCTGGAAGTAACGATGCCTTAGAGTTTAAGGTAAAGGTAAATTGACCTCACTATATTATTTGCCAGAATACAGTACTTCGTTTCCTGCATATTTTGGAAACAGTATGTTTTTAAATAGTGTAATTGTGCCCCGGTATAAAAAATGGCTTTCCAACTATTCTGAAATTTTAAATAAATCTGCTCTAAAAATTTGAACCACGGTCTAGTTTGTTGACTATAATTTTGTGTTATTCTGATTTTAGGGACTTAATACATAAAAACAACTGGCATATATTCAAGTTCTTGAGTTTTCATAAATGTTACTTCAAAATATACTTCACAAGTTTTATATTATTTCTGACCATTAACTTTTTCTAAACCTGTGTTGTCTGTTAGCTACTAAGAATCTAAAACTTACTGTTACTGGAAGAAAAAAATAGTATATCCAAACAATTGTAATATTTTCTCAAAAGCAGACCTTTGATTGACCTTTTTATCCAGCATCTCATTGTTCCTCTCTGAAAGACAAGATGTTTAGACTCAGTCATAAATATTTAACTGTGCTCTAAATCTCCTCTGAAACCACTGAATTTTGTTCTTTCAAAGATTGGTTATGTTAGTCTTACCATATGTATTTTTTAAGCTATCTAGTTTTGACTAGATTAGGTTTTTGGGTTTAAAATTTTTGTTTCAAAAATATTTTCTCTGGAGTCTCAAAAGATTGGAAAAAACCCATCTCAAGTAAATGAAGATAAATATATTTATGTTGTGAAGATCATAAAGATCCAAACTGGAGAATACTAGTATGATTCAATATTAAAAAATCATACTCTAATCCTTACTATTCAATTGGAAAACATATTCTATGCCAGAGTTCTGTTTCCTGTCCTCTCCAGCTGATTAAAAAAAACAAAAAAAACAAAAACTACAATTACTCTTATTTGACAAAAGATCACAGAATAATACATAACAGCTTGCATGTTTATATAAATAATGTGACTAGAGCTAGCCTGGATTGGCATGATCGTGACATGATGTTCATGAAAAACATGCTGAAACAGAGCACTACTATTAGAGTTTGATTTTCCATCCAGCAGTTAGGATATCTGTCACTTTCAATCTCTCCTTATTAACCTAGCTTCTGTTTTTGCTTCCTGGTCATAAGATAAGTGTCTGTTTTTTCAAATAAGTTTCCCTCCTATAAAGCTTCTTCAGTGGTTTCCAGACCGGGCCATAAAGCCTGGTCTTGGAGAGGCACAGAGTTACTGCAGGGAACTACATATGCTTACCATAACTTTTCTGTATACTGAATAAACATAAGTGTCACTAGTGCATGCTTTGATGTTGTAGTTGTAGAGAGGGCTGGGCATGCTCTAAAACAGTGCTTTCCAGAGTGAGACAGTACACCACAGAGGGTGTGCAAGAGGACCCAGGGGAGTTTAAGAAGAAATATTATACTTTATATTTTTACTTAGAAATATAAAATCATATTAAAACTTGATTTTTTGGGGGAGGCGCCTGGGTGGCTCAGTCGTTAAGCGTCTGCCTTCGGCTCAGGTCATGATCCCAGAGTCCTGGGATCGAGCCCCGCATCAGGCTCCCTGCTCAGTGGGGAGTCTGCTTCTCCCTCTCCCACTCCTCCTGCTTGTGTTCCCTTTCTCACTCTCTCTCTCTCTGTCAAAAAATAAATAAAATCTTAAAAAAAAACATTTAAAACTTGATTTTTTTAATCCATAAAGACAAGTACTTTCAATTACTGAATGTGTCAGGTGGTCTCAAGTCTACTGAGAGAAGGGAGTGCGTTCACATGTGAAAACTTCTTCACTGGTTGGTTCACTTTGGTATATTGTGATGTACTGAAGCACACAAGTGCGGGTTAAGATTTGCATTATCCAGTTTTAACTAAATTAACCTTCACCAAAATGCCAAGTGGCTTTAAAAGATTCCTTCAAAGAAGCTGCAGATTGAAGAATATTAGTTACGTGAACACAAGTAAGCGATGAGAAAATGGCAGAGCTACCACCTCTCCAAATATAAACTATGAGAATTGGGGGACGAGGGGGCAGGGAAAGGATTTCTGGACCTGAGAAGTCAAAAAGTGCTGAATTTTATTTTATTTTTTTAAAGATTTACCTATTTATGAGAGAGAGAGCACGCACATGTGCGCAAGTGGGGGGGAGGGGCAGAGGGAGAGAATCTTTCAAGCAGACTTCCCACTGAGCGCAGAGCCTGAATTGGGGCTCAGTCCCATGATCCTGAGATCATGACTTGATACAAAACCGAGAGTTGGACGCTCAACTGACTAAGCCACCCAGGCACCCCAAAAAGTGCCGAATTTTAAAGAAGATTATTTGAAGTCCTATTTAATAACTGCTATTAACAATAAGCCACTCCCTAAGAGTATATTGTTCTTTGAAACATTAGCCAATGATGAGATGAGGTCATCCTAATTAGCAAGATGTTTAAAAATATTTTCCAACATATGAAGACAATTTGAGATGTTTTTCTGTTCCTTTCTTGTTCCTTTTCAGTGTTTAAAATCAATTTTATATTTGGCAGGATTTCCCTAAATTTAATGGTAAATATTTAGGGGATTTTTACTGGCCAGCTCCATATTCTAAGTCGATAAAGGTTTTTGGGAAATCATATTCTTTTCTGACTGTGGCATAAACTTTATAAATAAGTAAATAAATATACAAATGTTTGAGCACATGCCCAAAAATGTTTTACTGATGGGGTACATAGTCAAAACATTTGAAGGCCATAATTCTAAAAAATTGGGATCTTCAAATTTTATCTTTTTTAGTTGCTCCAAAAGAATCAGTTGTATCCTCTCATCCTTTCTCCATATGCCTTGGAATTCCCATTTTTCTCTTTTTGATATTTTCTGTAAATAGCATTAAGGAATTTGAAATGAGGACTCAGACATCTGAATGTAGTGAGTGATTTCTGAGAAACCTGATGTCAGTTCAAAATTTCTGTACCTCTTGAACAGAAGTTGCTTTAACTAAAGAATATTCAGGAATAGGCTGTGCAAGTCATAGACCTTTTGTAGACGTTATTTATTCAGCCAAAACTAACTGATTACCTTCTTTGTACAAGGAACCATGCCAGCTCACTGCAGATATAATGGGACGTGAAATAGATCCTCTGTCCTGGTGTTTACACTCTTAGTCCAGGACTTAATTGTTTTCTTCTGGCTTTGATATTAGGTCAGAAATATGTTGTTGGTGTTAAGTATCCAGATTTGAATCCGTTATATTAAGTTGAAGGAAGGTGAAATCTATGTGACCTTTGCTTATTGAAATCTAAACATTAATAAGAACTTTGCTCTTCAACTTTAAACATTTAAGAAATATATTTGATACATATAAAGAGTATTAATATGCATAAAAATTAAGACGAAAATAATATACCAAATATCAGTAAACCTGCCACAGAAGGCAAGAAAAAGTATATTACCAAAACTTAATGTGCTTGTTCACTTTCCTATTCCCTTGCTTATCCATAAAGTGAGCCAATTTCATGAATGCTGTATTTCTCTTTGCCATGTCTCTTTTAATAGTTGAGCCACATATGTATATGTATAACTAAATTATATATTGTTTTGTCATCTTCGGGACATAACCTAAATGGATGTCATATGTAATCTTTTTGGACTTACATTTTTCATTCAATATAATATTTCTAAGATTACATCCATAATGTCCCTCATAATTTAGTTATTTTTGCTGCTTTATAATAGTCCATTTTATACAAGTACTATCCCATTTTATCTGTCCTCCTGTCAATGGACATTTGGGTTGTTTATTTCTTTATATTTTGCTATTAAATTGAAAGTGTTGCCGTGAATATTCCTGTGTATGTATCCTGGTACACACATGCAAGCATTTTTCTAGGGCAGTGGATTGCAAACTTTAGCATGCATTGGGATCAGTTGGAGGAATCGAGAAAACACATTGCTGGGCCCCACCCTCAGAGCTTCAGATTCAGTAGATCTGGGATGGGGTTAGGAATTTGAATTTCTAACATATTTCCAAGGTGATCCTAATGCTGCCAATCTAGGGACCACACTTTTTTTTTTTTTTTTTTTAAAGATTTTATTTATT